TTGGTAGCCCAGGCTGGCCTCGAACTCACAGAGATCCACCTGCCTCTGCCTCCCGAGTGCTGGGATTAAAGGCGTGCGCCACCACCGCCCGGCAGGTTTGGAATTTATATGCACTACATTGCACTACATTTTTGTGTATCTGTGTATTAGTCATGCTTAGATTCTATTTAGTATCTTTTGCTACACAGTTTAAATTCTTATTCAGATAAATATGTTTATACACACACTTGCATATATAGGCATATATACAAATACATACATATAAATATATAAAATTATATATAATATATAATTATATATTATATATATATATTTCCACCATATTATGGATTTTTCTTTCATTTATTGATTTTGTGTTTTGTTTTGTATTTTTGAAACAAGACCTCTCACATAGCCCAAGCTGGCCTGGAGTTTGCTATGTAGCTGAGGCTGGCCTTGAACTCCGGCATCTACCCCAAGTGTCATGATTCCAGGTGTGCACCACCATACCTAGACCTCTTTCTTTTTTCCCTTTTCTTACTAAGAAGTTACTCCTAAAATTATGCAAATAGTATTGCAAATTTTCTTCTGGAATTTCTATTATGTAACTTTCTGCACCTTAATCAACCTGGACTTTTTTTTAAATGTAAGACAAATTAAATTCTAGGTTTGTTTCCCTCTGTCTTAGAGTTTCTGTTTCTGTGAAGAGACACCATGACCACAGCAACTCTTACAAAGGAAAACATTTAATTGGGGTTTGCTTATAGTTCAGAGGTTTAGTCCATCGTCATAATGGGGGGAAGCATGACTATACTCAGGCAGACATGGTGCTGGAGAGGTAGCTGAGAGTTCCACATCCAGATTGGCAGGCAGCAGAAAGAGAGTGCCACACTGGATCTGGCTTGAACCTCTAAGACCTCAAAGCCCAACCCCAGTGACACACTTCCTCCAACAATGCCACACCTATTCCAACAAGGACCCACCTCCCAGTAGTGCCACTCCCTAAGAGCCAATGGGGCCATTTTCACTCCAATTACCACATTCCACTCCTTGCCCCCAACAGGCTTGTAGCTATATTATAATGCAAAATGCATTTAGTTCAACTTCAAAAGTCCCCAAAGTCTATAATAGTCTCAACTTTGTTTAAAAGTCCAAAATCCAAAGTTTCTTCTGAGACTCATGGCAATCTCTTAACTGTAATCCCGTTTTAAAAAAAACAACTTCCAACAAACAATGACACCGAATCTACATCACATTCCAAAATGGAGGAAAGTGAGCATAAGGAGGAAATTCTAGACCAAAGCAAGACCACAACTCAGCAGGGCAAACTCCGAACTCTGCATCTCCGTGTCTGATGTCAAAGCACTCTTCAGCTCTCCAACTCCTTTCAGCTTCATTGACTACAACACACTTCTTCCTTCGGGGCTGGTTCCACACCGTGTTAGCAGCTTTCCTCCCACAACTTTGGCGTTTCTAGTATCTTGGGGCCTCCCACACAATCTCTCTGGGTCTCCAATACAATAGTCTCTCCATGCCTCCATGCACGGACACCCCTGCCACCTGCATGGCCTCGGTGGCTTTCCTTAACTGCTGCAGAGAGAGAGAGATTTCATAAATCTCTTCTGTGTATCTTGACTTTAAAGCCAGAACCACCTGTCTGAAACTGACAAGTATTTCTGCTTGCTGGGGCTGGAATCTGGGCCCCTCCTTAAATTATATTTGCATAGGCTTTCTGTTGTTGATGGCTTCCTTTACTGCTTAAGCTTCCCTTTAATTCCTTTTTACAAGTTGGAAGCTTAGGGCACCACTCTCTTTGTTCCATTTAACATTAGGCCTTTCTTTAAGCCTTTTATCTTTTTGAGCATAGAACTTGGCTCCAAAAATACATTTTCTCCTCAAACTGTGTAGTTTATACTTTTCTTTGTTCAGCTTGCTCCTTTTTATTATAGTTATGTATAAGGGTGATAACTAATAACCACATGGCACAGTCAATACTAGGCTGTCTTTAAATCTCCTCTGCTAATGCCATTAATCCAAAACTCTTCAATTTAGCCTCTGGCAAATTTTTAGGACAAGGGCAAAAGGCAGTCACATTCTTTGCCAAAATATCATAAAAAAATGGCCTAGTGCACTCACTAATATCCTTTCCCTCTGAAGCTCTTAATCTGAGCCCCCACAACCCAAAGTCCTCAGCACTGTCTTCCATGCTTCTGCTAGGATAACCCAGTAAGCCCCACTTAAAGTATTCAATTTCTTTTTTCAGGGGGCAGGGTCTGTGACCTTCTTCACAGACAGAAGAGTGACAAGCCATGAGAGGCAAGAACACAGTAGCTAGTGTTGGCTCAAACTTCAGGAGTCTAACCCTGAATTGTTTATTTTGGGTATATTTAAACACAACACCATGTGGTGAAAATTATTCTTTGATGATTAGCTGAATTCTGCATGTACAAAGCATACCTAAATGTTTGAAGATCAAAGTAAACTAAATATAGATCAGATGTGACTACACCAAAGTTCTTGGTAAAGTACATATGGCACTTTTCATAAAGATAGGTTCTATAGATTGAATGAGAAAAACAAATTTGTGAGGAGGGTCTAGAGGAAAGTCTAGTGCCAAGGAGCCTTCAGCCATACAGATCATGCAAAAGTTACCAGGCTAGAAAGCACACCCTCTCCAGCTTTCTGGGCAGAAAACAGGTTTTGCATTCATGCCCTTGAAGAAACAACCTGTGTGCTTAACATTCCATGTTCCCCTGGTGGATATCTGTGAATATAAAGACTTCTATGCTCTCTATAGCTTTCTAGTCCAGAATCCCAAAGTCTTCCCTCTTTCACCAACAAAAAGCATATTCAGGCCTGTCAGAGCAATACACCACTGCCTGGTACTAACTGAGGTCTCAGTTACTGTTCCATTGCTATAAAGAGACACCGTGACTAAGGCAACTCCTAAAAAGGAAAGTGTTTGATTGGGGGCTTGCTTACAGTTTCAGAGGGTTAGTCCATGATCATCATGGCAGGAAGCAGACATGCATGGTGCTGGAGCAGTAGCTGAGAGCTTTACATCCTGACCTGCAGGCATAAAGCAGAGAGAGGTTGAGCCTTTAAAACCCCAAAGTCCATTCTTAGTGACACATCTCCTAATCCTTCCCAAACAGTTCATTAACTGGGGACTTAAGCATGTAAATAAATATATTTTTATTCAAACTTCCACGGGGTTGTCAACATAGAGTTTGGGAGTAAAGAAAAAATAGGATACTTAAGAAAATTTGTCAATATCAAATT